CTGCATGAGTCAGCTTCTCTTGCGTTGAGGGCGTAGCTACCGCGATGATGGCCTCGAGGAGAAATGGTCTATCTTGATGCAACTGCTGCGTAGTGGTGTTGGGTGGCAGGCAGATGAAAGGAAAGCATGGTAGCATGTTCGTCGTAAAGCGATTGAGATACCAGGCTGCCTTTTCTAGGTTCAACTCATATAGAGGAGGCAGCAGTACCGATGGCTGGCTCGGGCCATTGCTAGGAGACGGTATCGTAGTTGACTGTGACGGCGCGGTGGTCCATGGTTGTGGCACCAGTACTCTGTCAATATCAGTGCCAGTGATAGCTAAGCTGCTGATATTATCGCCTGTACTAGCATTTGAACTAGTCTGCAGGTTGCTAGATACTCCAGTAGCATGCGCCACAGACTGAAGCATTGCCGTGAGACTATCAATTCTCCCCTCAAGCTTCGCTATCTGCGCGCCGGACTCAGGAACCCGATGAGATTTCCTACGAGTTGATTCTGATGGCTGGCATTGTTTCTTGAGACGCAGGCATCTGAGTGGCGATCAGATCAATTAAGTCACTGATTATACTGAGACGCTTACCTTTCGCAGCCGGCACCGTCGGGTCGAGCTACGCACCGACACTTGGCCTTGGAACATTGCCTGCAAGCCTTGCCATATGAACCAGAGCCTGGAGTGGGACCTCTCCTCTCCATAATAGCAGTGAACTACTAGAATTAGAAATCATGTGTGTAGGTGTGCGGTGGTTGAGACGGATACGGTCTTTGGCTGCCGGCTGAACCGGACTTCGTTCTGGTACGCCGGACTTTGACTGGCCGAAGTCCGTTCGGCTTACATTGAGTGCCATCATCTATCCAGATGACTTGCTGATCATTAGATTCCAATTCAAATAGCATCAATTTGCAGTAATTATTTAGGTAACATATTTATATATTACACCCTCGCCCCTCGCCATCACGAAGAATACGGCGCAAGTGTCTCCACCGTCCTGCGCCAAATGATATCACTCGCGTTCATAGCCTGCAACTCCAACATCACTTTCCCCTGGAACAGCTCCTTCATATTATTATCAATAGCGAACAAATCACCACCCTGAACAGACTTTGTCAAATTCATACCAGCCTTCTGTCCCTCACCAAGCGGAACCCCTCTGCCACCATATTTAGCACTAGTGATCAAATACAACACCTTCTCCGCAGCATCTTCAGGGGACGTTCCGAACGCAGACAACGCAGCTTTAAACAGTGGCCAATACCACTTTCCACCCCAGGCCTTCTTAAAGGCATCTGTACTGACTCCACCAGGATAATGGTGGATGAATACCACATGAGGGTTTTCCTGAGCCAATCTTGACATGGACAATGTAGTGTAGGTGGACATTGATTTTGTGAGAGAACCCAAGCCGAAACGGCCTGGTTTCTCGAGATCGATGTCGTCGAGGTAGATGGCAGATGATTCAAAACCCGCGTTGAGGACACTCACGATGCGTGGGCTATTGGGCGATGAGTTGAGTAAGGGGAGAAGTTCAACCATCAGCAATATTCGGCTGTAGTAGTTCAGTACTAGTGAGAGGCTTTTTCCTTCGGATGTTTCTGATAATCATGTTTTGTGAGCTGATACTCCTGGTCAATGGTGATCAGAAGAGGCGTACCAATGCGCTCTCCCGAGGAGATAAAGCCAGCGCTCAGGTACAAGCAGTCAAGACTCGTCTCGCGTCTCCTAATCTCATCGCACAGCTTTTTGGTATCTGCTAGAAGAGACAATTGACCTTCCAACCAGGTGATCTGTGCCTGTCTGTTGGATTGTCGAAGCTCATCTAGAAAAGATTGATGCTTCTTGCCGTTCCTGCCAATGATATACACCCGGACTGGCAGATTCGTAGAAATTAGGCGAGTAAGTGTCGCCTTTCCAATGCCATCTGTAGCTCCGGTGAAGACTGCCGTGCGAGGTACAGTCTCTGATGTGATTTGGGAGTTGGAGGTCCGGATTGCGGAGATGGTGGCCATTGCACGGCTTGAAGATGAATCTTATGAGAAATATAGGTAGTATAGATGAGTAATAGATGGAAGAATATTTGAAACAATGTCGCCCGCTACTTGTGGAGGTGGCAGACGTTATATATGATGTTGTCGAGGCTAAGAGGAGCGGACTTGAAGTCCGTGAAGTCCGTCTCCAACGGCGATCGCTATCCAAAGACCGTATTACTCGCCTACCCGAGGCGAAGGGTATTCATAGCGTTATTACTAGAGTAGAACTCGGAAATAAATATCCAAGGATATAGTGTACATTATCTGAAACTCTTTCAGTTCGGGGTGCTAATAGTTCTAAGTGGAAAATTGATGATATTGCCCGAAATGTAGACCTGACAGGACTGATTAGAGCCCTGGAAAGACGTAATATTTAGATTGAACTGTCTGTTTCCACTGCAGACTTGTGGCGTGCCTGCAGCCATCTCCCTCACAGCAGTGTGCTGAATAATGGGGAGCAACGGAGGTTTGTGAAAATGTCCCTCGTGTATCATGACCTGGTCATGTTGTGAATCGACCCGCGTTATCAGGAACGCCCCAGCAAATTGTATTTTGATGAGGAGCAATGTCGCATAGATTATGCAGCAAGACTTATCGTTTGTGAAATATTGGCGGGTATTCTAGACCAGATTGGACTTCAGGGGGGCAGAACAGCCATACCACGTATGCAAACATGGTAGAACTATAGCCTAATATGCGATATGGAGCCGAATGCAAATATAAAACGCATACCTATGCATGCCAGCATGCTTCAGGGGAATTTGTACTGATGCTTCTAATCACCGGATGACACTGACACCATGTGACCGAGCGTAGGTTATTGCCTCGTATGGGATATTGTCACAATTTTTGATGTATACATACTCAACACGTGGAAAGTCGACATCCGAGGAACGTGCGTCAGCAAGCATTTTGAGCAGACGGCCTGTGACATCGGTGTTGGAGACATCTAGAGCAGTGAGGTTTGACAAACCTTCCACCAAGGTCTTCACGGTCGAGTCATTGATGCCTGGAAGCTGAGGAACTCCGAGCTCAGTCAAGTTGACCGAATTCTCCGCCAGAACAAGACTGAGCTTCTCAGAGTCGAGTTGTGGACAGCGGTCGACGACAAGGTTCCGTACTACAGCCTTGGAGTCGACTATGAAACGATGGAGCGTGCGGTAGGTGACCCAAATTAGGTCGCGAAGCATAAGAGTATGGAGATTTGGAAGGTGTAAGGGTTGCTCGGGAGAAAAGGGGAATTCCTCCCCAGGTGGAGCGGCACCTGCATGAATGGAAAGGTATTCGAGTCTCGGCGGTAAGCTGAAAGTGCCTATGAATACGCCTTTCAGATCCAGTCTACGTAGCCTGGAGTATCGGATAGGGTCAAATGATAGATAGTACGGCGCCCAAACTTTGGGATACGACTCAAGCCGTAGTTCTTCAAGGTTGGGCATTGAGCAAGACATTGACTCCTGAGATAGCTGTTAGTACCAGAAACAGCACGAACCCAGACAAAGCTCATGAGACCAGCCAACTTACAGTAGCGGGAGGAATGTATAGAGCAGGAACACGACCTGGTGGCGGAATTGACGCTTCCGTGAGCAAGGTGATACTCTTCAAATTCGGCAGATGTGAAGGCCAATGTACTTTGGATTCGGGCGACGGCTGGGCGTTATGAACCTCTAGACGTTCGAGCTGGGATAAGCTTGATAAAAACTTCGCGATATTTTCCTGAGCCACCGGTGTCTGTTTCGCGATAATAAGAGATCTCAATTGTGTTGAGCTCCTGAACACGTCGCAAAGCCCAATAGGCTGTGTGATAGGGTCCCGGATCTCCAAATGTTCCAATTTTGGACATCTACTTAAAGCTTCTAGCACTCTTTCTTGAAAAGGGGTGGATATGTTGGTCATGACAGCATGGGTTAGCAAGGCACGCGAACGTTGGACAAATGCCCGAAAGGAGCGCCAATGGACCTTGCGTCGGGCCTCGGTGAAATCTAATTGCATCCAAAGATCTGGTTGTGAGAGCATTCGCTGCCATCCCTTCGAAACTCGCAGGAGAACCCTAAGAGCCTGATCGTCAGCTTGCTTATAGGACCTCTTTGTACAGGCTACTTACGCCAGCTCCCTGAAATTGAAATACTGCAGCACCATCATGGCCAACTCGAGAGGTAAAGTATCAAACGGATCTAGACGTTTCACTGATGCCTTCTCTTTCACCTTGCAATACATTTGAAGTATCATCTGAGCCGGTCAGCGTTCAAGGCGCATCTTGCTGCTAATGCGCTGAAACCCGCTTACCTTACGACGGGGATGATCTTCAGGCAGAGTCTTCAAGCCATAGCCATAAGCTTTGAGAGCCTTTGCACGATCCCCAGTCAGAAGCAAGGTCTGACCATATCGCAAAACGCCCTAACGCTCAATTAGTCTACAGTGAACACAATCGACCATCGCACAGGCTGCAAGCTACCCGTCCATCTTTGGTATCTCTGCGGACCATCTGTCGCGAATCATTGAGAGCGCGATCATACTGAGTGAGCTTGATGTACGTTGCGGCCCGGTTGTCCAGGATGCTCATCACATCGGCGCCTTTACAAGAGAGAGCCTGTGGGCCAATTGCCTTAGTAGCCTGTTCCTTATCGGACGCGGTGGACCGCGCGAACGCACCTCTGTGAACGCGGCCAGAGCGTCTGAATAGTTGCCCTGTCTGAAGAGCAGCTGTCCTCTCCGTTGCAGAGAGTCTCCCTCGCCACGGACTACGCGCGCCATGTTGCCAATTGGGAGGATGAAGTTGAGAAGAAGCAAGAGGACGCGCGAGCGACGCGTGCGATAAGAAAAGTGATTTACTTCCCTTTACAGATCAGATGTGGGCAGGTGCATGACATAAGCATACAGCGGAAGTGGGGCGTGGCGGTCACCGGAGTGCGCCTGCTGTTTATGTTCTTCCCCTTTAGGAATCCCGCGGCTGTCGAAAAATAATAATAACAGTCTGGCGGTCCCCGACGCATTATCGCAACCAACACCCCTCGACATCAATCGGCAACTCCTCTCCCTTCAGAGAGGTCGCTGCCACCAGAGCTTGCAGGCAAGCCATGGAGCCACAGAATCTGCAGGCAGCATCTACTTACATCAATAATGTCTTGCTGGCCAGGGGGCTGCTGAAGAGCGGCCAACCCATTGATTTCGCCAACCCTGAAGATGAGGAGGGAGGCACGGCGGCCACAATGGGGAGGATCATAAATTTGGTCAACGATTTGGTTCTGCGCAGAGATGTACGGAGTCACAATGTCCAGGGAATTTGTCGCACTGGCTAACAGCCACAACAGCGTGAAGCCGAACACCGAGAGAATCTAGCGACCACAATCCGCACCCTACGCGCGGAGGAATCGCAAAAAACAGCAGAGTTGGTACGATAGGCATCAAATGTATACTTTGCGACCGCAGAGAAGGCTAACGACTTGGCTGTAGGAGAAAGTCAAGACGAAGGCCTCCGAGCTAACCCGTTCCCTGGCTCTCGCAGAAGCGCAGGAACGAGCATTGAAGGCGAACGCTTCTAGTGCCGATTCGACAATCCGAGGACTGAAAGAGCAAGTGCAGCGTATGAAGACGACCATCCAGCAAGTTCGAGCTCAATGCGCCAACGACATCCGCAAACGCGACCTGGAAATGCAGAAACTGAAATCGCACTTGGCTGAACGCCAGCGCGGAAAGCGGGAAGGGCTGTCGATGACCACTATCAATATCAACCCAGCAGCCAGTCAATCGTCCCGATCTAGACTGGCGGCCGGTGGTGAGGGCATCAACGATCCTGGATACAGCCTCAAGCAGGAAACGAACGACTTCCTCACTGAACTATGTCAAAACCTCAGCGACGAAAATGATACGCTAATATCATTGGCACGGAACACAGTCGAAACTCTGAAGGATCTCCAGGGTCTATCACAAGCCGAAGACGAAGATAAGTCCGCGACCGGGATGGCAAGCGTCGGGGCTGGACGGTCCCTGCAAGGCTCGGTAACGGCGCTACCTACCTCTTGTGACGAGCTATCAGCACAAATGGACCATGTCCTCGAGCATCTACGAACACTGCTCACGAACCCATCGTTCGTACCTCTCGAGGAAGTAGAAATGCGGGACGAAGAAATTAAACGACTTCGCGAAGGCTGGGAGAAAATGGAAAGTCGGTGGAGCCAGGCCGTTACAATGATGGATGGCTGGCATAAACGGATCGCGGATGGAGGCCATTCGATTCAAGCGGAAGAGCTCCGACAAGGCTTAGACCTACGCCTAGACATCACGCAAGCACTGTCTCAAGACGTGGGGCGAGACACGACCATCCAGTCACCCATTTTCGAAGACCAAGAGGCAGAAGAGGAGGAAGAGAAACAAACCGCTGCGAAGGTTACCACTGAGCCTAGTCGGCCTGCAGAGTCCCCCAGGAGAACTCGCCAGTCGACGCGAGAAACGAGATCCAGGAGAGCCAGTAAAGCCTTGAAAGAAAAGAGTGACAACATCATGACTGGACGCTCGCCACGGAAGGTCTCATTTACTGCGGGTCTACAAGACTCGCCTTGCGAACCGAGCGCGGACGATGAGACGCTACAAGTAAAAGCACACCGTTCGGAAGCGGTAACACGTAGACCATCAAGAAGGAAAGCTGAATCGAAGGGGCTCTCCCGCCAGGGAAGCAGCGCTCAAAGTCCCCAGCCCAAAGAGTCTCGCCGGGCAGCTGCTATCCAAGCATCAAGCAGCCAAGCTCGCCTGAGCGTGCCCCAGAAGCTAGCAGCTGCTGAAAGCGAGGCCCGGGAGGCAGAAAAGGCTCGCAAAGAGAGCGAGAGTCGTAAGCGTGGGCGGGCTCTCAAGGGATCCAGCAAAGGACACCGGGATCGACGCCGAAGCACACTCACCAGCGACGAGCTGGGAGAGCTGATGGGGATGCCTGCAAAGTGAAGTGACGATTTGTTTCATGATGATGTTCCTGGGAGACAAGCTTATTCGATACCCCCTCGTTCACTGTCTGAGTATATACCTTGCCTGTTTGCATACTTCCTGCCTTGGTGACGACATAATCATGACCTGCCTCTTTCCTCGTTTTGTATAATTAATACAACCCGGTATAACTACAATACCACAAGTAATTTCTCGAAGCAGCCATTCTATACTTATTCTCACACAGCCCCCTTTATGCGATATGTCGAGATTTCTGCCTTCAACTATCTAGACCGTCCCTCAGGCCCCAGCTCGACAACAAGCCTCCATATCAAAGGCCATGGCCACAAACCATACCATGACGCTCACTTGATACCTACAGGCTGAATCTTCCGCACCGAATGTATTGTATCGGACACGATACCAAGCCTAGAGCCGTATAGTTGTATAGTTCGTCCTCGCACCCAAGGAACCATGCCCGACTTTCCCCAACAAGACCCCGATTTTCCCAGGACAAAAGGACAGACCCAACTATTCGCACATATAGTCGTACTTCTCCTGACAAATATTGGCGTCTTCAAATTACCGCAGATGGCTCTGGAGCGAATGCACAGCCCTGTTCTAACGTCCCATGCCCTTCATCCCGTAGATGCCATTCCAGGCCAAAAAGCGGCGAGGAGTAACTAGATTCCTCGAGGAATATGAGGAACAGAGTCCGGACCGTAGTTGAAGCCTTGTCGTGGTCATAGGTGTAGTCATTGCTGCGGCGCTCGTTTCTCATACCTCATCGTGAAGGCATAGAGTTCGACGGTTAGTATGTGAGCCTTGCCGGCTCGCTTGTTCCTTGCCTCTCATACTTCTCCCATCCTCACAACACTCACGCTTTGGCTGCTCGCTATCGTTTGACAGAGTAACCACAGCTTCTTTTATCAATCTCATCTTTCCACACTGCTCGTCGTTCTTGTACGCTTTTGTTAAAGTTCTCCTTTAGGAGGATAATATCTGATTCGTGCTTGTTAGCGTCTGTTGCTTAGCTTGGCTTTGCTTGATCACTAAGAGGGTAAGTTACTCACGGCTTTTGCTTTGAGAAATGCATCCTTCCCCTCAAGCAGTCAACATGGATTTCTGTCAGCAGTACCCCGGTGCTATTCCATATCCTGGAAAGAAACCTTTTGGCCCTTCTTTCAATCATAGTACCATGAAATGGGTTTTCTTCACCGGGGCTCGTATGCAAGTTGAAGGAATGCAAGAGCCTAATTGGCTGTTTATGGATATACCTCCTTGGTGTGAGCCTGGGATGAGCAGGCATCTGCCTGAGTTTCCAAAGGAACCTCAATGGGATGTGATCATTAAGGATACCGACATACCTGACGGGGATCCTTTCATCTCGGAGATGTCTGATGGCGTCCAGGAACAACAGTATATTATGCCTGCCGATAACCACCCGTCTATTCCTCCTAACCGCCGATTTTCACGTATGACCCATCCAGGATTCCGTGTACGTCGAGACACCCCCTTGTATCAGATGCTCCGGCAGTTGGTTCCCACCGTGACCAATAGCCCTCCGCAGCCGTCCCCAGATGGCTCAGCTCAAGCCCAGGCGGGACCAAGTGGTTCTGATATTAAAAATGATATTCTTATCGTCGGAGGAATAAAAGTCACAGACGACAACGCTCAAGATCTCCTTCCTCTTGGAGCTCGCCTTTTTGTTGGAAAGTAAGAGCTAAACCCCCTTCCAAACTCAATAGTGCATGAGACAAAAACTAACACCCTGCAGTCTACCAAGTGCTCTTGATCCACCTCAGATGGAGTTCGAGCTCAAGAGGATGCTTGGCGAATACGGATGTTGCTATGTCAAAGTGAAGACGAATCCTAATTCTGGTCTGAGAACCGCCTTTGTGCAATTCAAGGTACGCGTCATGCTTCATACCTCAATAGCAATAGCTAATGAAGTGTAGACACCGGAGGTTGCGAATAAAGTCTTTCGAATGAGAAATGGTCAAGAATCGGTATTCAAGCTGCAGCAACGCACTCTCCGGTTCGAGATGGCGAAAGGAAGAAGGAGTGCACCCATTGGCATATATTCCTCTGAAGACCCTCAACCAGTCCAAAGGCCCACACAAGAAGCCATTGAGGGCATAGTAGAGCCGACCCTTGAAATGAACGGCGGTCACGCCGAGCCCACACATGAGATGAACGGCCAGGGCAGCGTTGATCCCAACCATATGATGAACGGTGCGACCAGCGGCGAGCCCGCACTTATAATGAACGGCGATGCCAGCGGTGTTCCCGCATTGAATGGCGTGGGCAGCATCGAGCACACAAATGATATGAACGGCGAGAGTACAGTTGAGCTCCCGCAAGACAATACCGAAGCGATCCCCGAAAGCAGCGAGCCAGCTGATGAATCAAATGAGAGGTTCTATAACGCACATGCCAGCGGCACCCGCTCGGCTCCGTGCCTATCTCCCGTATGGGGAGTCTGTGTAATCGCCCCGGAGCAGCGCCTAGATGATGATATAATGCTATAATAGCGTTGCTTAGCCTGAGAGGCTGATATACCCTTGAGAGTTGCTCGTTTCTTTATCTCCATCTTGGTTATCTTCAGGTTGTTGGAGTTGATTGTCTCATCTTTTTTCGTTATTTGTGAAGCAGACTTCTGGCTTCTTGTGTCTTGTTCTGTCTTATCCTGTCCTGTCCTGTTCTTTCATATTTTAGTATTTTCAGCTATTTAGCTTGCAAGCCAGGTCTCGTTGATGGGAAAGACCTATCCCGTCCGGGCCTGGCAATACACTCTCGCTTGAACTTCCTTGTTCCCAACTAACTGGGGTAGTGTGTAAGCATCGTAGGGACTGAGTTTGAGTGCGTGTGATACGCGAAGAAAAAAGCTATCTAGCGTCTTGGGAGCGGTGAGTGGTGATTCATTTATTGCGGCATCAGCGGAAGCCATTGTGAGACGATTCCAGGGTTAGCAATAGTCTGGATCCTCTAGAGATAAGATCCGAAGCGTCTCTAGATAACAACGTGGAGGGGAATTGAGTTGGGAAGAAGGAGGGGGAAGTGGGGAGACTAAAGCAGCGAGGGATGGCGCTTCCGATTCCTTAATACGAGTTCGGCGCGTCTGAGTGGATCTTCCCTCTAGTCAATCCCCACATCTCTTCTCCGGTCATCTTCCAATTGCTACTGAGTTGGACTTATTCATTGGTAAGTTGTCTTAAGTCTAAGTTTATTCATTGAATGATAATGATATCGAAAGGATCACTAGCCTACAGATCCACAAATTCTCCACGCTGCCACTCTCCCTTTTCTAGTCGGTCCAGATAATCGCCCACCTTGGCCGCCATCACTCCGGTCTCGTAGCCGAAAAACTTGTATGCAGCCTTGCCCGGCAAACTGTGGCCGAATCGGCGGATGTTGATGCCTGCATCGGCATACCGCTCCCAGCCGTTCGGCGCATATGGCTCGATTACCACCGCCGGGATCCCTTGATGGCGTCGCAGGACCGTGCGCTTGTAGTCGAGGGCCTGCTGCTCGAACAGTCGCTGGCATGGGAAACTGACGACGCGTACCGCAATCCCTTTAGTTTCCTTCAGCTGCTGAGCTACATCAAGCGCAAATGAGAGCTCTGCGCCGACGCCAATGAGGGTCACTGCGGCAGCATCAGCCTCTTCCAGCACGTACGCGCCATGAGCCACTCCCTCCCGGCGTGTTTGCTTCAACTGAGGCAAAGCGTGACGGGAGGTGGAGATAATGCTGGACGACTTCTTGGCCTCCAGGGCTGCAAGCCAGGCTCCTGCCGTCTCCTCACTATCTCCCGGTCGAATATACAGCAGGTTTGGCATAGCACGGTAGAGCGCTGCCAGCTCTATCGGCTGGTGTGTCGGACCATCTTCTCCCATGCCAATGGAGTCGTGGGTAGCAGCGTGGATAACCTGAAGGTGCTGAAGAGCTCCCATGCGCACGGCAGGAGCAGCATAAAGATAGAACATGAAAAAGGAGGAAGTGATAGGGATGAATGTGTTTGGAGCGAACGCTGCCAGCCCATTCGAGATGGCACACATGGCATGTTCACGCACTCCGAAGTGGATATATCGGCCGGAATAGTTACCGTTGATATTGCAAGTAGTACGTAGATCAGGCTGTACCTAGTGAGTATGGTGCCACTAAATGGTCTAAGAGAAACGGCAAGAATGAACTTACGTGCTGGAAATCAACCTTGCCTGGCCAGATCATGTTCACGGACGGGCTCAGGTCAGCCGTTCCGACCATGAAAGACTTGATATCTTTAGCCAGAGGGTTGAAGACTAGGCCGGATGAGGCCCTCGTAGCTGTTGGCTTGTCAGGGAAGCTGGAAGGTATAAGGTCTTTCCAGTTCGAAGGCAGCTCTCCGTGAATGCGTCTCTGGAACTCCTCCCCAAGCTCCGGATGTTCTACGCTATATTGCTTCACTAACGAGTTCCACTGCTGAACAAGAGCTTCGCCTCGAGCGGGGAGCTCCTGGAAGAACTCTCGGACTGTATCACTGATGACGAAGTGCTCGTCAGGGTTGAAGCCATACTTCTTCTTCATCTCTGCTACGTCTGGAGCACCAAATGCGGCGCCATGAGCAGCAGCCATGCCTTCCACCTTACTGCCTAGACCAATGACGGTCCGGACGTTAATGAAAGTAGGCTTTTCTGGGGAGGCGCGAGCCTCCTCCAAGGCTTGGACAATCCCCTCGATATCATAGCAACCGTCTTCCACATCAATGACGTCCCAGCCACAGGCACGCATCTTAGCGTTGATATCCTCTGTGTTGGTCAGATCGACTGAACCATCGCAGGTTATCTGGTTGTTATCGTAGATGACTGTCAGGTTGTTGAGTTTGAGATGGCCCGCGAAGGAGATTGCCTCGAGTCCGACTCCTTCTTGCAGACATGCATCTCCTATCATACACCAGGTGTGGTTTGATACGACATCATACCCTGGACGGTTGAAGTTGGCCGCCAGATTCTTCGTGGCCATGGCAAGACCAACAGCATTGGCGATGCCCTGACCTAAGGGGCCTGTGGTGACTTCGATGCCCTCGTGTTCGATTTCCGGGTGGCCCGGACATAATGCGTCGACGCGGTCGGAGTGGTAGGACTTGAGCTGCTCGAAAGTCATGGCTCTGTAGCCAGTGAGATGTAAAAAGGCGTACTGGAAAAGGCAGGTATGGCCGTTGGAAAGGATGAAGCGATCGCG